ACCTTACCCTTTTTCAGGGTATCCCGAGTTAGAATAAATCTAACTCCATCATCTGAGGATGATAAAACCCGAGTCTAAACCTGACTCTACCCAGAAGTGACTTAACCGACCCCTAGAAGTGATGTATCATGACATGAGGGATGAGAACGAATCCTAGAGGACTTAACCCTAGGTATATTTCTACCTAGACAAACCTAATGATCTCTAATATCAGCCTATAAGACTTACCCCTAGATATATTCTACCTAGTCGTGCTTGACACACTCTAACCCTAGTCTATCGGTCCTAAACCTAGGTATATATCTACCTACTCAGACCTTCTAGACTCAAAGAACACGATCTGACTAGACTTAACCTAGGTACTTTTACCTAAACCGATCTAATGGACTTTAATCCAAGTCTAACCGGACTTCACCCTAGGTACATCTTACCTAAACGGATCTAATAGACTTCAGACCAGACCTAATTGGACTTAAACCAAGGTATATTTCTATCTAACCGGCCTATTAGACTCTAACACGGACCTGATTGGACTTACCCTAGGCATAATTTTACCTAACCGACCTCTTAGACTCGCTAAACAGCCTACTCTAAGACCTGATTACGTCTAACCAGACCTAACTCAAGGCTAACCTGACCTGATTACGTCTAATCAGACCTATGACACCGAGTCTATATGGCCCCCAACAAAGTCCTAATCAGTCCTATAACCCTGAGTCTACATATCCCATAACAAATCCTAATCAGACCTACAAGTGTTATTTCAGACCCTAACAGCCCTAGTTAGACAACCAAAAGCCTCGATTAGACCACCTCAAAACCCTAATCAGACCTAAACCAACCCTAATTGACTTACCAATCCCTGATTAGACTTTTAGTACCCTAATCAGACCTAAAATAAGCCTAATTGACTTGATTCTCCCTCTGATCAGGCCCTAACAATGTCTAGAACCAACTCCTACAGACCTGTCCTGATCTAAACTGACCCCTACAGACCTATACCTAGAGATTCTAGACTGAACCAACTTCTAAAACACCCCGTTTTAGCCAAATTCCAACTATTCAGACCTAACCAGTCAAAGTACCGAAATCTATTACTCAAAACCAGGTAATTTGGAGTCCTATCTACCCCTGAACTAGATAATACCTAAGTGTACAACCAAGTTGTTAACCTGATCAGACCTATACTATGTCTCTACAGACCTTCTAAACCTCTAATCAGACCTAACTAAGCCTATTTTGACTTAACTACCTATTGATCACACCTAGACTAAGCTAGACCCACAATTGGCTTAAACCAGACCTAACCAAGACCTAAACAACTCTTACAGATCTATACCGACCTAAACTAGTCAACTTCACACCTATACCAGCCTATTTAAATCTAACCTGATCTCCTATCCAGCTAAATTTAATCAAATCCAACCTATTCAGGCCTATACTGAACAGAAAATCGGAGTCTATGACTCACATTAGCTAAACCGAGATCTAATCAGGCCTAACCCTAGTGTATTTCACTAAACCAAGCCAATTTGGATACTAATCCGACCTACAAGAGTATACTGATCACTACAGACCCTAAACTACCCTAAACTAGTCGAACATGCCCTAAATCAGACATCATCAGACCTAATTGAACCAATCGAACCCTAAACCAGGTAACTCTAGTCCTAACCGGATACTCCAGACCCTAAAACCGATCCAATCTAGTCCTAAACAACCAACTCAGACCTTAACCCGATCAATACCAGCCCTAACCAGATAAATCAGATCCTAACCAGACCTCCATCAGCCTAAACCAATCTGAACTTACCTAAACCCGGATCCAATTGACCTAAACAGGACAATTCTAGCTCTAGTTGGACAAACAGACCCTAAATTAGACCTAAACCAGTCTAAATCGGCCTAAATTGACCTAAAACCAGACCATATTGATCTAAACCGGACAATTCTAGCCCTACCCGGACAAATCAAACTCTAACCAAGACCTAAACCAGTCTAAACCAGTATGAATTGACCTAGACCGGACAATACTAGCCCTATAACCGGACAAATCAGACCTAAATCAGACCTATACACAGCCTAAACCGGGATTCATATGTAATTTTCCATATAATGATCAGAAAAGGCCACTGATATCAATTTCATTGTTCCCTGCCCCTTCCCGTGGGAATACTTATTTTACTGCTTTACCCCTAAATTGACCTCTACCAGACTCAATTGACCTAAACCGGTCTGAATTAGACAGAACCGAACAAATCAGACTCTTAATCAGACCTAAAACGATCTGAACCGGTCTGATTTACCTAAACCGGACATAGATTGACCCGAACCGACCTGAACCGGTTCAATTGGCCCCAAACCGGACCTGAACCGACCCAATTGACCTGAACCGATCCGGTTTGACCTAACCAGTCAACTGTTGACCGATTTTGGTTAACGATTTGACCTAGACCGACCTAAATCGGTTCGATTTAAGACCGAACCGAATTTAATTACCAAATCGGATTTAAACCGGCTAAACCGGTCTAACTCGGAAACCCTAATTTCGGATTGCGGAAGCCGCCGAGTCACCCGAGTCAACCCAGTGGTTGACTCACCCCAATTCTCAGACTCAGTCGTGACTTGGTGAGTCATGGCCGATTTCGCCGGAAAATCGCCAGTTCTTCACCGGTTTTCTCACCCAAACCCAAGATCGACACCAAAAGAAGGACGATTTACCTCCTCGGACTCGTAACTCGACTGATTTAAATAGTCCGAGTTAGATCCGAACCTTACCGTTCGTTCTCCCACTGATCTGAGCTCCGCCGCTTGTGTGACATCGCCGATCTCGTCTCGAGATGGCTCTTTCTCGCCGTTTCTACTCCTGAAAACACCTCAACACCCGGGTTAGAACGCTCACATCTAAACTAGAGAACTTCGGCTTACCTCGACTGCGATTTCGTCGCCGATCTACTGCTTCCCTCCTCGCAATCGGGCTCCTGATACCACTTGTAGTGGATTTCGACCTCGATCCCTCACCGATTCCACTCCGTATCACTCATTCGTGCAAGATCGAGAAGAGAGTGACAAAGGATATACGAGTTCAGCAACCGAGATAAATCTCGGTGCCTACGTCTCGGGAAGAGGAAGTCGCGTGTTTTGCTAGGGTTACAAACGGAAATCGATCGGAGATTGACTCTGATTCACGGAGCGAAGAATCGCTTCTGCAAGAGATAGAGAGAGAACCAAGACCCGAAGAACAACCGTTTGAGAACAAAACGCTAACCCTAGGATCTCATAATTCGACCCTTACAAAGTACCAATTTACCCCTCGGACCTTCTGCTTTGTTCCGAAGCTTTGAAAGCTTCCACTTCGTCTGGAGACTTTGGGAAGCCTCTCCTCCATTTGGAGGCTTTGCTGAAGACACTTCACACTTTGCTAAAATCTTTCTTGGCACCGATTCTCGATTCGGTTGATAGTCAATCCATTTCTTACTTCGATCAACTTCCATATGGGGTGATGGAAAAGAAGTTGAAGTAAAAGTCTTCCATGGTTCCCTGCTGTAACTACACTCAAAGAAGAGATGTTCATGAGTCTCTAATTCTGTTTGACATAACACACAAGCTGGGTTATGCTCAATTCCCCAACAGGATAGTCGATCTTTAGTCGGCAGCCTCTTGAGTAGGACCTGCCACTGAACGAAACTCATCCTTGGGTTGTCAAGTCTGAACCGTAGTAGGGAATGCTAGGGAACCTTCGCAGCAACTTGTCGAATCAAAGACCATGTGGCTGACGAAGAGAAACTAGACCGAAAATCAAATGTATTTGCTTTCTATTCAAATATATCTGGGTCGACATCCAGAGTGGGTGGTGAGATAGACGAGATACGGATCATTGCCTCTTGGAGACCTTTGTTGTGAAGTAAGTAATAGATATTATGTTCAATTCTGTAAGATTTTGTAGATTTAGAAATAAGCTTCAAAATTATTTTTCCATTGTAAATTAGAAAATAGAATAAAATAAAATAATAAAGCTAAAAATAAAAAAAATCTCATATAAATATCTCAAGCTTGAAATATTCATATCCAATATGATATATTATTTTAATCGATTCGATTCGCTTCAGGTATATATCGATTGGATTAAGTTTGAACATATTTTTTATCATTTTTTTGCGTTTGCGTTTATGGACTTATTTCAAGTTCGGTTATTTCGGATTTGAAATATTCATATCCAATATGGTATATTATTTGGTATATTATTTTAATCGTTTCGATTCGATTTGGATATATCGGTTGAGTTAGGTTCAGACAGATTTTTTATCGCAGTTTTTTTGCGTTTGCGTTTAGTAGTTTATTTGTTAGAATTTATAAAATACATATATATTTCGGCGAATAAATATAAATATACAGTTTGTTTGGTAAGAAAAAAGTTATAGAGGTTTTTTGTATATACATAAAGAATACAGATATATTTCGGTGAATAAATAGAGTTTTCTTGGTAATAAAAAAATATATAATTTTTTTGTCTATATCTTACTAATACAAGCTTTTTTGGTGATTTTCTCTGAAATATATTAACTAAATATCTTCACTTTTAATTCGATTTAATTAAATTTCTAGTATTAAAATATTCTACTTGATATTTGAATATTAAAATATTTTAAATTAATAATCAACTTCACAAAATCGATAAATAGTTTACAATATTAATTTTTATTTTAAAAATTAACATTTAATTTATACATGATCATGATCATTTTAGTTAAATTTAAAAATTGTTATTGATTTTGAATTGAGATATCCTTAGAGTATTTTAATATCAAATATCAATTTAATATATTAAATATATCAATTAAAATTTTAGATATTTATTTAGAATATTTGGTAAAGAAAAGGAATTTTCCCAAAAATTAAACAAAAGATACCAAAAGGCTACAAACTAACCAGAAAATTACAAACAATTACACGTCAGCAACAGCGAAATATTCAACCAAATAAAAAAAAATAAGAGAGAAAGAGAACAAATTGCTTCCAGAAAAAGTAGAAAATCGCACAGCTCCTGTAATCCCTCTCCTGAGATCCGTTCATCGTTCAATCTCTCTCCGATTTGATGCCGTCTCGCAGAAGGACCCTCCTCAAAGTCATCATCCTCGGCGATAGCGGGTCTGTTTCATAGGAGATGCTTATTATCTCTGTGTATATGTTCTGTCTGTAATCTGTGCATGTGTCTGCTTATGACTAGTGATTCGATGTCCTCGATGAGTTCCAGTGTATTTTCCGGTCGGAATTCGGAGAATTAGGTCGGATTTTTTTCCCTATTTGTTCTGCTGTTTAGACTGGATCTGCTTTGGCGATTTCGTAGGTACCAGAATTTGGTGACTTAATTGCTGCTAGATTTGATTTTGTTTGTTTTCTCCTGATCGATTCATTTCGTAAGGTCCCGGAGTAAATTATAGATTCTGGCAACTGAGATAGTTTATTGGATTCGCCCTCTTATACAAGAAGTTGAAGCAAGTTTAGTTGAAGATTTGAGGATTCTGATACTGTTATCTTCTTAAATTAGATTATGTTACAACTTGGGTTAGCCTTGCATAAATTTTTTCTGTTAATTGTTTAAACTTGAGCTCTTGCTTGATTTTTACTTCATGGTTACTCGTTCGGTATATAAGTACAAAGAATTACTTGGGGAATCTAGATTCGGGATGTGCTTGTTTGTGGAATATAACATCTAGGGAATTGAGGGGTAGAATATCGGCGGTCGTCATGGTTTTTCTTAGTAGATGTTTGCATTTATTGTCCGTTTTTGGCTATAACGATACTGAAATCTTCGACTGATGCTTGAGATCATTTTCTTTTTGTTAGGATCCTTTTATTGAGAGTGAGAAAACTTTTGTTGGGATTGGTTGGATTTGTTTTTCGTAGGCTTTGTTAGTCGCTGTTTTCTTCTCAGTGAAAGTAAATATGTATAATCCACGAGATCTGTCTGATTATGACAACTTCAAACTACTGAACAAGCTGCCGATATATTCGTTATAACTGATCTTCTGTTATGATAATTCAAGTGAGGCTCATTCGGGTAGTTCATAGTTCTGAGTTGTCTTTTGCAGGGTGGGGAAGACCTCGTTGATGAATCAGTATCCTTTATGTGCTCAATGTAAGAGTATACTAAAATGGTTATTGACGAGGACCAAAATAATTTTGTTGTTCTATAGGTTAATGTGATTATTTCTTCCGAGTAAGTTGTTTATTTCAAGCTAGATGAGTATGAGTTAGCATTTTTGTGTCGCCTTAACATCATGCCCTCAGATATGTGAATAAAAAGTTCAGTAACCAGTACAAGGCGACTATCGGGGCTGACTTCTTGACCAAGGAAGTACAGTTTGAAGATCGTCTTTTCACTTTACAGGTTTGTAGATGCGCTTTCTCAATAATTTCCCTCTTTGTTTGACAATTGATTTCACAAATGCTCTGCCTAGAGGTAGTGTAGTTGTTTCTGAAATTGGGATGTGGATTTCATGCCATTTTTGTAAAGTTCTTTTAAAATTCGGTGTACTTTTTCAGAGTTCTTTGTAAAATTCTTGATTTGAACTAGGAATCGGGGAAGGTTCATGTATTTTTCTGAAATTTGAGTATAATATCTGGGAGTTGGTAACAACTAATTCATTGTATTTTCCCTTTATTCGTATCAGAAATCCAACTTTTGTTTTTCTTTTTAAATTGTTCACGTTCTCTTGTCCACTGGTGAGGCAGGTTGTTGGGGAACTTTTATATGGGTCTCAGTTATTTTATTTTTCTGAAACTATAATACCTAAATGTAAATCATATAGACACAGTAAGTCAAAATGAAGTATTGTTTCCCCTAGACAGCTATTTGCTTTTCAGCTATATGGTATGTAACATTTTCCTTGTCTTTTCTCGAGATCTAAGGTCTGTTCTTTGTTGTTGTGATTGTCAATGGGATATTACAGATCTGGGACACAGCTGGCCAGGAAAGGTTTCAGAGCCTTGGAGTAGCATTTTATCGCGGTGCCGATTGCTGTGTTCTCGTGTACGATGTCAATTCCATGAAATCATTTGACAATCTCAACAACTGGAGGGAAGAATTTCTGATTCAGGTACTGGTTCATGCTTTTTTCCTGCAGAATTTACAATAAGCTCATCTTGCAGTGTGTGTGCTAATTACAGGCGAGTCCATCAGATCCAGAGAATTTCCCGTTTGTCGTTATTGGAAATAAGACTGATGTGGATGGCGGAAACAGTCGTGTGGTACGTGTATCTTCTATATTGCCACTCCTCGGTAGATATGCGTTAATTTCTCAGCTGTATCATCAACTTGTATTTGTCTCCAATTACGTCATCATATCACAGGTTTCAGACAAAAAGGCTCGAGCATGGTGTGCCTCCAAAGGAAACATTCCCTACTTCGAGACCTCTGCCAAGGAAGGCACCAACGTAGAGGAAGCATTCCAGTGCATAGCCAAGAACGCGTTGAAGAGCGGTGAAGAAGAAGAA